AGTCAATGAAAGCTTCAACGCGGAAACGACAATTCGTATAAACCGAATCAAAGTTAAGCAAACAAAATGTGACAGAGTATATTACGTTCCGGGGACAGCGGCCTCCATCCACGGCGCGGTGGACTTTGTCGGTGGGTGAGTAGTGGTGAGCTGAGTGCCGGTGAGCTGAATCTCGGTCGATCTGGCGGCGAGCCATCCGGAATCAAGCTTAGTTTTACCAATCTCCGCCGTCAAGACTCGTCTCATCGACTCGGTGGAGTCCATGAGAGAAATGAAATGACTTTGCTGAATGCTGTCGCGAGAATCGCGAAGAACCTGTTGTTTATGGTCTTATTGAGTTGACTCAGTTGGGTAAAAAGACAGCGATCGATCACTTATCATTTAAAACTATAAAAATTGGATTTGCCTTTGTTTTCGTCACGCGCCTTCTGTCCGTTGAGACGGCTATTTCAAGTAAATACTTTTTTTTTTTTAATACAAAAATAAAATAAAACAAAACACAAAATCCCTTTTGCCTTTTTACTTTTGTACTTGAGTTCAATTTCGGAGTAAATAAGAAAAAAAAAATAATGAAAAACGTTTTTATATCATATTATCTGTAAATTAAATGTAGCATATCATATTTTCATTGATGTTTATCCACAAATTCTTTATAAAAAATAACTATAATCTAAATCCTCTGATGTATATCCTTACCAATAAACCCCCTATGGTTTTGGATACTGTTATCAACCCCTTGTCATTTATTAAACGTTAGTACGTCACCATTAGGGGTGTTAAAAAAAATACAGAAATTGAACCGAACTGAAGTTACTGAACCAATAACCAACTGGTTTTCTAGTTATCCAAAAAACCAATTCGGTTTTGGTTCAAAGAAATACAAAAATCAATTTTCTAATTCGATTACCAGTTTATAAGAATATGAGAATCGGTTAACTGAAACAAGTTTTATAAACTGATTTATTATAAAAATATTAAATAAAAAATTATTGTTTATTATAAAAAAAATTAAATTAAAAATATATATAAAATATTAAATTAAAATCGATTCAAACCGTTTAGTCGGGTTTTCCCTTAACTAGTTTGGTTTCAGTTCAGAACAATTCCTGAACCGAAAAATTGGTTCGGTTCACAAAATCGGTTAACCAGTTTTGAACACCCCTAGTTATTACTTCATTGTTAGGGTGTGTTTGTTTAGGGTTAATATCTTATTACTCTAGTAAAGTCATCTTATATTACTAACATTATTATGTTTAGCTATTAAGTAAAAAAATTTATCAATAATCCTCCAATACCATATAGTAATTAGTAATTATTGTAGATTATATAGATGGTCATCTGAATACCACTATTTTCTTATGTATTATAAAATTAGTTACAATTTTACCCCTAACTAATAAAATTTTTGGATAGTTGTTTTGAAAACAATTTGCAAGAATATTTATGGACCATTTTATCCTTATACACAAGATTTTAAGACATTATTACCCTCATACTTCAACCAAATTACTTGAGACTACAACTGGATGTGGCCACCATTGTCGGTCGACATTGCTGGAATGGCACACAACCCGGTCGGATATGGTTAGTTGTGCGCCGATTTGGCCTTTTCTGGCCAAATCTATTCTAGCCTTTTTTTTTTTTTTTTTGCCAGATCCCCGACCATGGATTTGAAAATGTCAGATCAATGCACGATCAACCGACCAGATCCAATTGATCATGCACCGTTCTAGCGATTGTCGATTGAGACCGGTGATGGTGGTTGGAGACTGATAGTCGTCTTGGGTGGTTGGGGTGTTTTGACTCATTTTTAAACTTTTATTGTGGCTAGGGTATTTTAGCAAAATCTCAAATGTAAGGGGTTAAAAATAATCTAAATAATAAAGAATAATAATATTAACAAAGAAAGACAATTTAGCCATCTATATAACATATCTACTAATTTATTCCTCCCAATCAAATATATCAATATAACATTCCTACTAATTTATTCTTATTTAACCAAATATATGAAATATAACATTCTCAATAATCTTAAAAAGTTATTCATCTTCCCATTAATATAACATTCTCAGTAATACAACATTTCATAAATCACACGTCTCCTTATTTTTTAAAGAAAATGGGTAAAAGAGTAAATGGTGTATAACTAAAATAAGAAGGAAAAAAAAAAAAAAAAAACCCTAAAATATAAAAATAAAGTGTCATCCTAGCCCTTATTTTCTGTTTTGTTTTTGGCCGATAATGAACGGATTTTATGACAGGTGAAGGTGAGTGGGGCGGTGGGAGGCGAGTGCCCTTTTTTTGTTTTTTTTTTTTTTATTTTCTGTTTGGCCAATTATAAAAGCAGGAGAAAGAGGGGAGGCTTTTATTTATTTATTAATAGTATTTATGAATTAAAATATTTATATAAGAATAATAGGGGTAAAGATGGTATTTAAACGTCTCATCAGTCAAGTGAATGATTTTGATAACTCTGACAAACGGTAGGGGTTGACAGCAATATCCAGAACCAGAGGGGATTTATAATTTTCGGCATAAGTTAGAGGGTGTACATATTATGGTAATGATCTCTATAAAAAATATTTTACTTTTAGATCTGTGCCTGACTGCCACTTGAGAGAGAGGATCTATCTTGAAATTATCCACAATGACGTCATACTTTTAAACGAAAAAAGAAATCTAAAATTTAAAAAAAAAAAAATTAGGATGGCTATAGAAATATGTACTAATAAGAGAATTGTGATTAACTCTATCATAATCAGAACGGATGTACGTGTAATTAAGAATAATCAATAATGTATGTAAAAATACAATAAAATAAAGATAATGAGAGTTTTAAAATTGTTTGATGAAGGTAACTCTGAAGCCTATGTCTATTGTATTTGTATTTGTTATGAGAGCTTACAATATAATTCTTATGTGAAATTCGTAACCCCTTCTTCGTCGTTTGAGAGGGTTTATATACAATATTTGTACAAAGAAAAAAGTGAAATTAAGGAAATTACAATTAATATGAATCGCAATTCCAATATGCTCACAATTGAGCTTTGTGATTCTGCAGTGATTGCTATTGATGTAGTCATTCCTGTAATATCTGGATTTGAAATAATATGGGGATTGATTGAATGATTGTTTGCGACTAGCTTATGTTGGGTCGATCAATCATCATTGTCAAGCTAATTCTGGATTGAGTTATATCCTTACGAAGGCCTAAGCTTGATGAAAAAATCACACACAACGGGAGAATTGAAGAGAAGAAGAAGAAGAAGAGTAAGAGAAAAGTAAAAAAAGGAGAAGGAAAAATGGAAACTGAGGGAGAAAAAACTAGGCGTTGGATAACACAATTCTCACATGCCCGTGACAACATTTTATTGAAGCGTCCCACTAACAAAATTGATCTACCAGGCTTGGGGCGGTACATTGTGAAAGCTCACACAGAAATTAGAGAAGCAAAAGTGAGTGTTCGATGAGCAAAATCAGTTCAGATTGTTGGGGTTTTGAAGAGGGGAGACCAATAAGTTTTTTTGTAGTAAAAGGTTGACTTTTAATGGTTTGGATTGATCGGAATTTAACTTGGGCGGAGTGGCTACATAAACCTTAATCACTCGATTGTCGGCGATTGATGAGGTTAACAGGAGTAGGGTTTGAGGAGTTTTGATGAGTGATAATTGGAGGAGAAAATTGTGGTAGTATTGGGTCATAACGATATTAAAATTGGAAATAGAATATAAATTTGACTAGTAAAATAGTATTTTAAAAGTACGTTGGATAGAAAAGTGTTATTAAACCATTATTTAGGTAAGAAAAGGTCGATTAGACCCAAATTTATAAATGTCCCTACAATTGATATAAAATTAAAATAAAGTTGTCCATACATTGAATGTACAATCTCATTCATATATTAAACTAATAATCCTACATTTTTATAATATCCAATTACATATGTTCTTTCAACAAAGTTCTTATACCAACATCGACCAAAAAGCTTTACTACGAGGGGGGATTGGATATGACTAATACTACATATATAACATTTTTCATACAACTTGACGTGATAAAAGATAATTAAGTAAAAATTTATTTTTAATTTAAAATCAGCCAATTACATTTTATCACATTATGTTGTTCGAAAATGTTATATGTGTAGTTTTATGTTATTAGACATTGATACCATCAAAATAGCATTAAAGTCAACTATATTAGGTTTGCAAACCAAGCTACTCGCGAGCAATTTGGACTCGACTCAACTCATGCTCTAGCTTGAGTAGCTTGCATTTTGAGTCGAACCGAGTTTGAACCTATTAATGCTTCACTCGAGCTTGATATATTATGTAATATTTTAATTTTATACTAATATTATATATAGATATATATAATTTTAAGTATTAATATTATATATAAATAAAAATAATTATATATATATTTTAATTGTTTTAGTAATCAAGTCAACCTCGAGCCGATCATATATTTATCCAGCTCGAGTTTGAGCTTCAACAATTCCAACTGAGTCAAGTTTGAGCTTCTCATTGCTCAACTCGCTTGACTCAGTTCCTAAATTAGATATATTTATATGTCTTGGTACGACAAGACATTATTCATAAGTAGTATCGTGGGTTAGTTGATTGTCACTTTATTAATTATTTACACATTTAATAATGTAAGAACAAATTATTAATCTTGTGAGATTAATGATTTCTTATTTAATAATAATTTTAATTTCTAAAAATTACTATATATATATATACTTCACTTTATACTTTATAACAAAGACAGTTATTCTGCGTACGCAAGGCAAGCGCTTCAATGATTAAAGTCAATGGCGCGAACATAACCACCGGCGTACGTCACCGACAAAGACAGAACTAACCGACCAATCACGCCACGCCAATAAAGCACAAGATCACATCAACGACTCTTGTCCTAAAGATTGTACACGTCACCTCACGATCCCTCACTTGAAAACCGTGCCATCATTTTATTTTTTTTGGTTCAAAATACCGAAAGAGCGATCCTTTTTCACTACCAACCTTCCCTCTCATATAAGTCATATTCCCGGGAAAATAAAAATAAAAATAGAGAAAGTATCCAAAACAAAATATCTCACCGAACATTAATTTTCCCGAGAAAATCTCCATGGAAGACTCTCCTGCTCAGCGTAGGCTCGAAGCTATCCAGTGTCACCTCATCAACAGCAACGATACAGACGCTCAGTCTCAGATTCAGCACAATCTCACAGCTGGCAACTTCGTTCACAGTAAATTAGTGTGATTAGTTTTTTTTTTTTTTTTGTTTCTTTTTCGGATGAGCTGATAGATGATTCGATGAATCTTCTAGCCGGTATGGTCATGGTTTAGTTAGCGAGCTTACTGTTTTACGGACTAGTTAATCATTCTGAATTCAGCTGGTTACTGTTTTTTACCAGGTCAAAAGTACAGCGTTGTTCTGCCTGAGAAACTTCAAACTGGGAAATGGAATGTGTATAGGTAGCGCTTTTTTTTTCCACTGCTTTACTTTCATTTCATCTCAACAGGAATAATAGTGCTACAGTAAGTCAGTAACCTTGGAACAAGATGATTGAATGTGTAAATGAAAAATTGGATTTAGTAAATGAGGGTGGGTGTGCGTCAGTGAAAGATCATTTTCACGGGCTCTCGTGCAATAATATTATGACATATATGCATTAACTTTAGAACTTTAAAATCAATCAATCAATCGGTCAATCATGGCTGTTGTTGGTTGGATAGAAGAGATAGTAAATACATGTCTTATGAATTTATCATGTTATTAGATGGATACATGAATGAATAACACATGCGTGAGTCTTAAAATGATAGAAATATGAGAAGCAATTGCTTTTGGTTAAATTTGTCATTTGTGAAATACTCAGAACATATTAACATAACCTTACACTTGGCAACTTATGAGCTACTTGTAATTATATGTGAGTACGGAATTCATGTATTTATTTACATATATTGAAATCTTTGTGATTGATTCAAATTGTTGAAATGGCAGATCTGCACGCTCGCCTTTGCAGCTTGTCACTAAGTTTCCTAATCATCCTGAAATCAGGACATTGCACGATAACTTCATGTGAGATATATCTGTTATAAAATATTTTGTTTCACCAATCGCATAATCTAGCTTGTCTAGTTTTTAAAGTTTCAGCGTGAGCATGTGACTGGGAGTGCTGACTTTTTTTTCTTAATTTTGTGAATACAGACGTACTGTTGAGACTTTCCCAGATTACAAGTACTTGGGTACACGAATTAGGGTGGATGGAACAGTTGGAGAGTGAGTTTGTAATTGGTCGATCGTGTTTTATACTTTCATGATTGTTCAAGACTGAAAATGATTTTAATATGATGCTATATTACAAATTGTACTCATTCAGATACAAATGGATGACGTATGGAGAAGCAAGTACTGCTCGACAAGCAATAGGCTCTGGCCTTCGGTGTTATGGATTAATGAAAGTGTGTCAGTCTCTTGAGAACTTGAATTCTCTTTCTCTTTTTTAAAATATTTTATCTAAGGAATTGTTGCAAAATTTTGGAATTGGGTTTAAACTTTTAATTCTATATATTCTACTCTGATTTTACAAATATTTAAAAATTAATCTGTCTGTGGCATCTCTAGCTGTATATCTCAAATAAAAATTCTCATCCTAGATAATATTTCACTCGTTGATTGCATCTCTTTACTTCTTGTGGGACAGGGAGTTTGCATCGGTCTTTACTTTATAAACAGACCAGAATGGCTGATTGTGGATCATGCTTGCTCAGCATATTCTTATATTTCGGTTCCTTTGTATGACACTCTTGGTGCGTATTTGATTGTTAAAATGAATCTTCTTTTTTGCTTGATCCTTTTCTAATGGTTTTGTTCTATTTCCAGGTCCAGATGCCGTTAAGTATGTTGTCAATCATGCCGAAATACAGGCAATTTTTTGCGTCCCACAAACTTTGAACATGGTGAGATCACTCTCTGCCTCTTAAGCCGGAAATTTTCAGGGAAACTGTGCGTATGAGCTAGTAATACATGGCATTGTGTAAATATTTTGCAAACTCCTTACTTCCTATAGGAACTTCATTATATTTCACTGTGTTTCTATCTAGACTTACCACTGATGAAATTGTGAAATATAGCAACAGCATATAAATTACTAAGCAACTTGGTTCCTACGAGTTAACTGAATTAAAATCTGACCTTTTGTTCTGAAGCTGCAACGTATCTGATGTCTCTCTCCTGGAACTTGCAGCTATTGAGCTTCATTTCTGAGATTCCATCTGTATGTCTCATAGTGGTATGTACTTACAGAAAATGCACGTGAGTTTATTGAGGAAACTAAATGTATGCATTGCACTTATTTGTTTTTCTCTCTCTTCGTACTCTGCATCTTTCCCAAAACAGGTGGTGGGAGGGGTGGATGAACACTTACCCTCACTTCAATCAACATCAAGAGTTAAGCTTGTAACATATGCAAAACTTCTAAGTCAGGTAATTTTGAAATTTTCATTATGGTTTCCTCTCTAATATGTTACTGATTTGTTAGTGGAGAAAATGGTATTATGAACGCATTATAGGATGAAATAAGGAATTATGCTTACGTGATTTCCTTTGTATCTTGGTCAATGCTAATTATGTTGTGTATCTTATATTATACTGCTTTGATGTTTCAGTCATCCCTCTTGAACTTAGACTGCCTATAGATTAACAAATACAACATATACTTCATTCATAATCTGATTGGTAATCAGTTTTTTTTTATTTCTTTTCACCTACAATCTGTAATAACATTAATCAAATTATTTATCTGAGACACAGCTTCTTAGATATATTTTGTCCTTTTCTTTGATTGTGGCTGACATTACATGTAAAGAAGTAATGTTTCATTTCCTTATTATATATGGTCGTCTTTTAGGGCCGCAGTAGTCTTCAGCCTTTTTGCCCTCCAAACCCTGAGGATATTGCAACCATATGCTACACTAGTGGCACCACTGGAACACCAAAGGTAAGAGGTTGTGAACTTTGTTTCTCTACTTCTGCAACTAACTTTCAATGATATGACCATGGACATAAAAAATATATATATTTTTTGTTTTTCTTTTTGCCAGGGAGTTGTCTTGACGCATAGGAACTTAATTTCGAGTGTTGCTGGGTTCAGTTATATGGTCAAATTTTATCCATCAGACATGTAGGTTCAGTTTTCAAATTATAACTATATGATAAATGAGTTTGTTTGGTTTTGCTTGTCCTTATTTATTTATTTATTATTTGAATTCTGATTTTCCTCTGCTAAAATTATGTGTTATTTCGACAGTTACATATCTTATCTTCCTTTGGCACACATCTATGAGAGAACTAACCAGATTCTTTCAGTGTACTATGGCGTTGCTATTGGTTTCTACCAAGGGGTAGGTGACTCAACTAAAGATTATAGTTTTTCTTTTGGTAATTCTTGTGTGTTTGACGGCATTAAAGCCACTACTAATAGAATTGGAATTGGGAGGATGTTGTGCATTAGCTTGGTGCATTTTAACTTTATAGATATGAGGATAACCTAAATTTGTTTGTATGCTCATCCCTTTTATTTTCAGGACAATATGAAGTTGATGGATGATTTATCTGCCCTTAAACCAACCTTATTTTGCAGTGTTCCTCGGTTGTATAATCGAATTTATGCTGGGTAAGATTATGGTTGATTGCTGCATAATTATTCATTAGATCAAATTTTATGGTCACTCATCATGTCTAATTCTGGTGGTTTCCATAGAATCACAAATGCAGTAAAGACTTCTGGGACTCTTAAGGAGAAGTTATTCACAGCTGCATTCAACTCCAAGAAGCAAGCCATAGTGAATGGTCTGTGTGTAAATAACTTGGCCTTTATTTTTGTTGATATTTTTCATTTGAATCTTCTTGTTGGCTCTTCCATCACCGTTATCTAGTTCCTAAAAATAGCTTAGAATAAAGAGGTTAGATCATTGATCATACCCTGAATGTCTGAACATTTACAGTTCCTTGTATTGACTATGTAACAAAAACTTTTTCAGGCCAAAATCCATCATCAATGTGGGACAGATTGGTGTTTAATAAGATAAAGGAAAAGCTTGGAGGCCGAGTCCGTTTTATGGGATCAGGTGCTTCGCCTTTGTCCCCAGATGTAATGGACTTTTTGAAGGTGTAAGTTGATTCTCAAATTGGTGAATTCACCTTTATCTCTCCTTGCTTCTCTCTTGGCACATACACATACACACACACACAAACACATAAAATGACTGTTTTATATTTTGTTGCAAACGTAATTAAACTCTCAGGTGCTTTGGCTGTCAAGTACTTGAAGGATATGGTATGACTGAGACTTCTTGTGTCATAAGCTGTATGGATGATGGTGACATCTTATCCGGTCATGTTGGGTCTCCTAATCCCGCATGTGGTGAGGTTCTTACTGAATTGGAAGTGTTTATACATATATTCGATTCCGCAATCCTCACCCACCTGAAGGAAAAGACTTTAGCTCTTGTAATTATTAATTTACACACCATGGCTCTGTCATCCCTCAAATGATGCGTGTGAGAGACATTTTTTTTTGTTAATAAGTATAGTGTACTTTTAAATGATAGGTAAATAGGTACAAGTAGTTTCTGTTTTTTCATCAATAAAGAAGTCAAAAACTGAAGAAGGCAAACGCAATTAAACAATTTATGTTAAATAAAACGTAGCGTAGGCAAATATAATGAGATGCCTGAAGGAACAAGTTTCTTGTTAATTTTGATGTGTGATCATCGGTGTTTTGTCTTTTCTTCTTTCAGAAGTGAAACTTGTGGATGTTCCTGAAATGAATTACACTTCTGAAGATGAGCCCTATCCTCGTGGCGAAATCTGTGTCAGAGGTTCCACTGTCTTCCAAGGCTACTACAAAGACGAAGTTCAAACGTAGTTACCTTTAACTTTTGTTAATGATACTAAAGTGAAGTTACAACTGTTTAGTCTGTCTGACTGCCCAGTTTGATTGAACAGGAGAGAAGTAATGGACGAAGATGGTTGGCTGCATACAGGAGATATTGGGCTGTGGCTAAGTGGAGGTCGTCTTAAGATTATTGATAGGTAATTTCCATTGCACAAGTTAATCTGACACTCTTTCCTCTGTTAGCTGGCCTTCAAAAATTTGTCAGTCAAAAGTACATAAATTTATGTTGTTTAGTGTTGAATTATTGGACTCCATTATAAGGCTACATTCAACTTATGACAGGAAAAAGAACATATTCAAGTTGGCACAAGGAGAGTATGTTGCCCCAGAGAAGGTCGAGAATGTGTATGCAAAGTGCAAGTTTATTTCACAGTGTTTTATCTATGGTACAGAATCGGTGCTTATATTTTATATCGAACTGTCCAGCTACACTTACATACTAACTACATAATTTTATCTTAGGTGATAGCTTTAACTCTTGTTTAGTAGCTGTTGTTGCGGTGGATCCTGATGTTTTAAAAGCTTGGGCTGCATCTGAAGGAATCGAGGTCATTTTTGTTTTCCTCTTCTTACTACTTTTGATTCTGTAACCTATCAGAGTGACTTCGCTACCCAACTTTAGGAAGCTAATTAAGTCCTGATGTCGCAAAGAATTTGTAGTAGAGAATTTTTTGTTTTCCACTGATGTATATTGATCGTGGTAATTTGTGTACATTTATGCAGTTTGAGAATTTAGAACAGTTGTGCAATGATCCAAGAGCGAGAAAAGCCGTTCTTGCTGATATGGATGCTGTTGGAAAGGAAGGCCAGGTAAATTCTTCAAACCAAGTATGCTTTTCACCCTTCGAGTTGAATTAAGGCTTACCATTTTTCTCTTCTCACAATGGTTTAGTTGAGGGGTTTTGAATTCGCAAAAGCTGTAACTTTGGTGCCGGAACCGTTCTCTGATGAGAATGGCCTTCTCACTCCAACATTCAAAGTAAGTTCCTTCCATAATGCATACCAATACATAAAAATCATATATGCCTTTTGTATAATCTTTGGACACCTAAACTAAGCAAAGTTATGGCAAACGAAAAACTAATTCTGTTTTTTAACCCGAAATCTTTTCCAGATCAAAAGGCCGCAAGCTAAGGCATACTATGCAAAAGCAATATCAAACATGTATGCTGAGCTTTCATCTTCAGCTCCTACACCGACAAAAATGTCGCGCATATAGGTTTGAATTTGCAGTATGAAGATAGAAGAAATATGCTGTTCAGTTTTCATCCGTCGAATGTGGCTGCTAATAAAATCTTATGATTCCATTGTTGTAACTCATACACTCCAGATTTAAGAGTGGCAAGAGAAAAGTTCTCATTGCGCTTCTGTTGTAACAGGTATTGTAGTCACACAGTATTTGTTTGCTCTTGGCCGTTAAGCTTAAACTATGATGTATATAATATGGGTACGTTTGGTTCAATACTTTATATCTTATTTCCAATTCTATCGTCAAAATAACTGTTTGTTTTATTATCCCTATAATACTATTATATTTTCTTAAACTATTTTTAAATCTCTTAAATTTATTAATTTAATTAAACACCCTCAGAAAAAGTTTAAAAATAAACAAAAACACTCCCATCCACCCATATTTGTCAGATTCCGACCATCACCGTCAGAAGGTGATCAGAATCTAGTATAATGATACACTATCAGGTGGATCTGACCAGTAGTATACCGATCTGTCATTTTTCGACTAGATCTACAATCAAAGCTTCGTTGACCATCAATGACGGTCATATCTTTAGCTGTCGACGGCAAAAAATGACCGCAAATCTGACATTTTTCGATCAAATCCGTGGTGGATCTAACTGGAAAAGGTCATATCGACACATAAACGACTAGATTTGACCAGTCATGTGCCGTAACGCCAGATTCTAACAATGGTGGCTGAAATCTGATGACTGTGGGTGAAAGTGATTTTGTCATTTTACAAAAATTTTATATATTGGAGTATTTAGTAAATTAACAAACCTAGAGGGATGCTTTTGTTAATTTTTAAATTCTACCTCGTTGTTCTCACCCAACTCTAAAAATGTCAAAAATCCTATCCAAAATAACAAAACAAACGGACCCATAGCTATCTTGATTTTAGTTCTCTATGTGGCTGAGGAGATTGAATAAACCCTAATAATTGTTAACCAGAACCTTTAAGAAGCATTTCTATTGTTTTCCAAAGCGAAAAAGAAAAATATGGAACAATTGAATGCAGACAAATATTTCGAATCAAGTTTAATAAACAATGCAGTGTTCTTCTGTACATACTATAATCTGCCATTACTCTGGTTGAATTATATCTACAGCACAGTAGAAATAACAAATGAGATGGGGCATGCCTTCATAACTTGAGAATTATAGTGAACGAGCAAAGATGCAGAAGGAAAATCAGAGTGGCCGTGTGTTGTTCCAAAGCCATTGTCCAGCGGAACCATCCAGCAATGGTGAAACCTGTTAGATAGACCAAGGTTAATGATCAACATCACTAAATTTCAAACCAATATTACCAAAGAAATAAATAAATAAAAGTAACAGGATGCTGGAAAAAACTTAGATTAACGACTCGTCTGCACAAGATCTCAGGTTATTCAGGAATGCATGCTTCCAAAAGCATTAAAAAACTTCATAAATGTCCAACAGTTTGTCTAATTTGGGAAGGGCTGCGGAAGGCACATCAGGCTGCACCTATATATGTGCCGAAAACAGAATTGTCGAGCCAGCTTTAATAAATTTCCAAACATGCACTTACCTTCTCCCAGACTTGAGAATGGTAATCATTAAGCCAATCAATCTCCGCAACGGAAAGCAATGATAAATCAACCAATTTCGTCTGCAGGAAAAAAAAAAAAAAGCATAAAGAAAAATATATCGCACCAGAGAAAAACTATCCAACAAAAGAAAGGCTGAATTGTAAAGCAGAAGCTCTGAGATAAATTAGAGATAATATAATACTTAGGCCACTCAAATTTCGGTCCTCAAAATTGTATTGAAACGATACCCTCTTTAAGCAATTAGCCCTGGCCTTAACACCACTATCTACATCAAACTAAGTTTTACATTATGTTTCTGTCGATTTTGTAGGACATTACTAGCACGAAATTTAGCATTTAGTGTTTGTCCGCATGAAAGCCAACCCCTTACACTATTAGCATACAGCCACGGATTCATTTTAACAGCTCAAAAGAGCTGAACTAGACTTGGAGCACATGGTCATCATGTTGTGTAAACTCCATTTAATCAATGAGGCTGCATGAGAAACCAGGACATTGAACAACTCCATATTCTGAATAATAAGCACAGAGAAAGAGTCTCGTTTAATTATATTTTGGTGTGGTTTCCTAAACAACTTGACCAGGATTGGCAATGAGTAGAATACCTGTATGGGGACAAATGTGAGTTTTTCAAATCCCAGATATGCAGTTCCTCCAAAACGATTGGGTGTGTCGACCTCTTTAATGTAAAGAAGATTCTGCAAGACAAGTTAACGTAACTACAAAATATACAGAAGAATGCAAGAGTGCGACTGAAAAAGATGTCACATATCAAACATTTATCAGAAATTATAGAATGTCAAATACACATGGAAGAGAGGAAAAGAGAGATGAAACAAGGAATTAACCTAAGAAAGATAAAAAAAATAAAAAACAAACATCAATTTCAAGTACAGCAATCAGATATCACAAGTATGTATGTCCTCAAAATTTGGCAACATTAGAAGCTGAGATAAATACAATATGAATGTTGTACCTCAATGCGAATGCCAAAGGCATGGTCTTCATAATAGCCAGGTTCGTTGCTGACAATCATGCCTTCCATTAAGGGAGTCATATTTCCATATCTATAGCTAATACTTTGGGGACCCTCATGAACATTCAGTGCAGCTCCCACACCATGTCCAGTTCCTAGTACATGGAAGTAGATATGATTAACAAATCAGCACCTTCTCTCAATCAAGGAGTTGTGAGATCGCAAAAGTTTCCCACCAGGCCACCACATATATAGGCAACAAAAAGGCATGAAATATACCATGTCGGTAATCAAGTCCAATCTTCCAAAGGAAAGAACGGGCAAAAGGATCCAATACAAAACCAGGAGTACTTTCAGGGAATATTGCCTGATCAAGAGCTATATGACCCTGCAATCACGCATTCTACAATCAGATTATACCAAATGTGAAACATCAAATATTTCAACGAAAAGATAGTAGTCCAGTAAGTAGAAAATTAGAGAAGACAATGCTACACTGGTTTATAAGAGAATCTCTAAAGGACTCTTTATATGACCCAAACTTTTTATTATAAAGAGTCTATCCATAAAAATAAAAATCCAACAGACTCTTTATCCTAATTTAAATTAATAAACTACAAGTTTCTATGCATTTTATTTATAATTCTCTCTTCCATTAAGTCTCTTTCTTGAAAATAAAGAGCATCTTCATTAAATTTAAAGTCCATTAGATTTGAATAAAAAATTTGTTTTTTAAATTTAGAAATTATTGAAGATGCTCTTTATTTATATGAAATATGCTCTTTAAAATAAAAAGTACCATTGAGAAGTTAGAGAAGCAAAAAAGTTCAAAGCAATAAGTCTGAAATCAACAATGCAAAATTACCCATTCCTACTTTCAAAAACTAAACATATATGAGTTATTACAAAGCCTCTTCATGTAATATAGATTAAGACAGATAAAGAAAGACTTGACACCTGTAAAACTCGGGTGAAGCATTCTTTCTGCCGAGCAGTAGGTTCCCCAAAGTGCACTGTCCTAGTTATGTCAGTTGTTCCATCCTCATATTGAGCTCCACTGTCTAATAGGAAAAGTTTATTCAAGTCCACAACACTACAATTGTCTGTTTCTGGTTTGTAGTGTATGATAGCACCATTTGCACCGGAACCTGTAAGATCATCTTAATTGTGAGCAACGAAATCGGGAAACAGATGATAAGGACATATATTATAATAAGTTTCTATTAACAAAATCTGAGGGTAGAAGCAGATGAAGGATAAGTTTCTATCATAATAGAAAATAGGATGATGAAAAGAAAGCTGCAACATATTTCAGTAGAAAAAGTGACTGAAGAATCAGTGAAAATATAATTAAAACTGAAATAACCAGGGGTAGAAGATAGGTAATCAAGAATGCAAAAGTGAATATACCACTTATGGTATCGAAGCTAGTATCTATAAAACCAGCCTGCTTTGAACGGAATTCAAGAAG